AAGGAAGGAAAGAAATACAGAAAGGTAGAAAGTGAGAGAAAGAAAGAAAAAAGAGAGAAAGAGATAGAAAGGAGAGAGAGAGAGAAAGAAAAAGAGGAAGAAGGAAAGAAAGAGAAAGGGAGGGAAGGAAGGAAAGAGAGAGAGAGAAGAAAGTGAGATAAAGATGGAAAGATGAAAGACGAAAAAGAGAGAGAAAGAAGAGAGACAGAGAAAGATAGAAAGAAAGAAAGAGAAAAAGGGAGGGAAGGAATGAAAGAAAGAGAAACAGAAAGAAATTAGGAAAGAATTAGAAAGAGAGAGAAAGGGAGGGAGGGATGGAAAGAAAGAAAGAAAGAAAGAAAGAAAGAAAAAGACATAGAAAGAGAGAGAAAGAAAGAGAAGGAAAGAAGTAAATAAATTATGTTGTACTATATTATATTACACTACTCCATAATATTACATATATATATATATATCTCATATTGATATAGATTATATCACATTATTGCATATTATTATACATTATTATATTACATAACAATAAAAATAATAATATCATTTGCTCTTCTTTGACTTTCAGGGATCATAGAATCATAGAATCAAATCAAAGAGTTGGAAGAGACCTCATGGGCCATCCAGTCCAACCCCTTTCTGCCAAGAAGCAGGAATATTGCATTCAAATCACCCCTGACAGATGGCCATCCAGCCTCTGTTTAAAAGCTTCCAAAGAAGGAGCCTCAACTCAACTTGCAAATAGTTTTTATGGCTGCCTGCGCCTTTAAATCAATCCTGGGGCATCCTGGGATTTGTAGTTCAATGCAATAGAGCTCCTTAGCAGAGCAGGCTATGCTAAGTCTCTCCCAGACTGCATATCCCAGAATTCCTCGGGATCAAACTAGTTGCAGCTGTACACAGAAGGCAAGTCCTTAAGCTGTATCCCTCCACGCTGTTTCAGCCTGCCTGGGTAAGAAGAAAAGACCCCCACTCTATTTAGCCCCATTCAGACGTGACACGCGTGTTTGGGGTTGACATACGTGTTTGTTGAGCAGGAAGAGAGTTGACCTGGATGCTTCAAGCCAGCAGGAAGGCCACCCCAGCATTGCACGCGTGTATGGTATGCCCCTCCTGCATTGCACGTCTGTATGTGCACACACGTGTTAGGAAATGGGTTCAAAAATCACAAATTGTCCCTTCCCTCAAATAGACTTGAGTCCTATGGGGAGAAAAGCAGGGAAGGTGATAACAGTAATAATAATAATAATAATAATAATAATAATAATAATAATAATAATAAAAATTGCAACATGGAATTATTTTACTAAATGAGTGTTAATAATAAATGGAATTATTTTATTAAATGATTCTTAATAACAATCATAATTCCATGTATTGTCGAAGGCTTTCATGGCCAGAATCACTGGGTTGTTGTAAAGCAACAAAAGTTTGCTCCAGGCACTGTCAGGCCATTATATGCTAATCAAGGTAGTCAGTTGAAACATTCACACCTAGCTCCAGCTGACAAGAGTCCTTTGTCCCACCCTGGTCATTCCACAGATATATAAACCCTTTTCCTTAGTTCCAACAGACCTCACTACCTCTGAGGATGCTTGCCATAGATGCAGGCGAAACGTCAGGAGAGAATGCCTCTAGACCATGGCCATATAGCCCGAAAAAACCTACAACAACCCAATCATAATTCCAACTTGGAATTATTATTAGATTATTATTGGTATTATTAGTATTATTTCCAAGATTGAATTATTATTATTATTATTATTATTATTATTATTATTGGAATTAATAGTAATAATTCCAACATGGAATTATTATTAGATGATAATGATGATGGTGATGATTATTATTACGGTTTCCAAGACTGATTTTTTATTATTATTAATAAAATATTGGAATTGATAATAATAATTCCAACATGGAATTGTTATTAGATTTTATTATTGTTATTATTATTATAATTTGCAATATTGAATTATTATTATTAAATTATTATTGCCAAGATCGAATTATTATTATTATTATTATTATTATTATTATTATTATTATTATTAGAAACACAACAAGATGAGTCCACAGCAGACAAGATAACGCTGCTGGCTGTTGTACTGGATCACACATCGGAAACTTCCCAAGTGTCTAGGACTGTGTGATGTATCGGCCAATAATGCGTGCAGATCCCAGTAAGGTGGCTTTCTGCAGCTGGCAGATAGTAATGTGTCAGCACCTATTGTGTTTAAATGCAGGCCAAGGTCTTTAGGCACTGCACCCAGTGTGCCAATCACCACTGGGACCACCTTGACTGACTTCTTCTTCTTCTTCTTAATAATAATAATAATAATAATAATAATAATAATAATAATATGTATTGTCGAAGGCTTTCGTGGCTGGAATCACTAGGTTCTTGTGGGTTTTTTCGGGCTATAGGGCCATGGTCTAGAGGCCTTTCTCCTGACGTTTTGCCTGCATCTATGGCAAGCATCCTCAGAGGTAGTGAGGTCTGTTGGAATTAGGACAATGGGTTTATATATCTGTGGAATGGCTGGGGTGGGGCAAAGAGCTCTCTGCTGGAGCTAGGTGTGAATGTTTCAACTGACCACCTTCATTAGCATTTGAAGGCCTGGCTGAGCCTGGGGGAATCTTTTGTTGAGAGGTGTTAATCTGTGCCTGGTTCTTTTTTCTATTTCCAACAGACCTCACTACCTCTGAGGATGCTTGCCATAGATGCAGGCGAAACGTCAAGAGAAATGCCTTAGAACATGGCCCTATAGACCAAAAAAACCCACAAGAACCTAATAATAATAATAATAATAATAATAATAATAATAATAATAAATTATTATTATTTCCAACATGGAATTATTATTATTATTTAAATTTTATTTTACTGACACAAAAGCACAGTATGTCTCAGCAAACGAGATCTAAATTATTATTATTATTATTATTATTATTATTATTATTATTATTATTATTTCCAACATGGAGTTACCCGGCTCAATCTTGGGGAATTATGATTAAATAATAAGAAAAATATTACATAATAACAATAATTGTTAAATAAAAATAATGATTGTTATTGTTGTAATTATTATTTCCCTCAAAGGTTGGAAACTATCATTATTATTTCCAACATGGAGTTACTATTAAATAATAATAATAATAATAATAATAATTATTATTATTATTATTATTATTTTCACAACATGCAGTTGTTGTTATTGTTGTTGTTATTATTATTTTCCCAGTATGAAGTTACCCGGATCAATTATTATTAAATAATAATAATTATTATTATATAATAGGAGCCCTCAGTGACGCAATGGTTTAAATCCTTGTGCCGGCAGGACTGAAGACCGACAGGTCGGAGGTTTGAATCCGGGGAGAGCACGGATGACCTCCCTCTGTCAGCTCCAGCTCCCCATTTGGGGAACATTAGAGAAGCCTTCCACAAGGAAGATAAAACATCAGAAACAGATGGCCTATTCTCTCACACCAGAACCTGACATGACAAAAAAAAATTACATAATAATAATAATAATAATAATTGTTGTAATTATTATTTCCAACAAGGAATTCCTATTATTATTTTCAACATGGAGTTACTATTAAATTATTATTTTACTGACACAAAAATGTGATATGTCACATCAAACAAGATATATATGCTTGATTTTGTATCACAAAAATACAAATCGAACTCTTCCCAAGCGTTTAGGACTGTATGATATATTTTCAAATTATTATTATTATTGTTGTTGTTATTATTATTATTTCCAGCATGGAATTATTATACAAGAAAGGGGTCCTAAGTGGGTAAATATAAAGCATAAGGCACCCATATATACAGTGGAAGGAAAATTATTATGATTTCCAACGTGTAAATATATATTATTGTTGTTATTATTATTATTATTATCCACGTGGAATTATATAATAATAATAATAATAATAATAATAATAATAATAATAATAATAACAGGCCACCCTACTTAGAGCTGTACGCATTATTCGCCGATACATCACATATTCCTAGATGCTTGGGAAGTATCGACATGGGCTCAAATACAAAAGCTAGGAGAGTGATCTTGTTGTGTATCAAATAATAATAATTTCCAACATGGTGCAATGACTTGAGAGTCGGCATTTTCCAAATACTCCAGAATAAATCTTATTTTTGCGGGCCCAAAATCCTTCATTTCAGTGGAGTTGATGGGAGTTGTAGTTTTGTAAGGTCTGGAGCTGGGAAATATTGGCCAATATATGTATTTTTTTGCAATTTTTCACCTTTCCCAATCTTTTTTTTAATGGTGAACATCCTTCTTTTCCAATAGCAGCAAGTAGAAGTGAGTTTCTGGCTGCATCTGCAAAATATTGATCTTGCATTGCTTTTAATCAATCTCTTAATCATGGTTTGTTCAAACTTAGGTTTCAGAAGGCATTTGGATTCCAGCTAAAAGCATGGCTCTGGTTCATAGAGATTCACCAGGAAACGAAGGCAAGCTGCAACCACAGAGAAATGTATGTGGATTTGTATTATCTTTCTGGTCACATCTTCACTGTATAGTTAATGCAGTTTGGCACCACTTGCCCTGAGAGTTATAGTATTGCAAGGCCTTTCACCCGTTTTAAATAGTTGTGAGTATGTGCAGCTTATGTGATAATAATAATGTAATAATAATAACAATGATCTTTATTAATAATGATCATGATGATGGAGTCTCCTTCTATGGAGGTTTTTAAGCAGAGACTGGATAGCCATCTGTCAGGAGGGATCGGATGGTGTAGTATTTTATGGTGGAAGGGGGTTGGACTGGATGGCCTCAGGGGGTCCCTTGCAATTCTAGGATTTATAACCCATTTAAAATGTGCAACCACACCAGATTAAATACGGAAATATCTAACTAAAGGATGTCTGCTTAAAGGTAGCTGCCTTCTGGGTTGGAAAAAGGAGGCCATAAATGGTTTAAAGTTGTTTGTTTGTTTGCTTTCTTGTTTTCCTGCCACAGATGGATCTGGTTCTGCCTTTTGTGTGGAAATGCCGGCCCTTTACCGGCCGCTGTTGCCAGCGCTGCTCCCCAAAGAGCTGGGTAAGGAGGGAGGTTCTGGGATCTCTAGTTTTGCAAAGGTTTATATAATCTTCATCCTCCACATCTTCCTGGCATTGCCCGGGTATTCATTTTCCTTGCCTTCTTGCCTCCTTCTTTTCAATTTCCTCCTTCGTTGCTCCAATCCTTCCTTCCTTTCTCCTTCTCATCTAATTCTCTTTCCTCTCCTTGTTCTCCCTCCTTCCTTCCTTCCTGACTTCCTTCCTTCCTTCTTCGTTTTCTTTCTCCTTCTTACCTTCTTGCCTCTTTTCTCCCCTCCCTCCCTCCCTCCCTCCCTCCCTCCCTTCTTTCCTCCCTTCCTTCTTTTCTGTCTCACTCCTCTTTCTCCTTTTTTTCTTCCTTCCTTCCTTCCTTCCTTCTTCATCTTCTTGCCTCCTATCTTTTTCCTTCTTTCCTTCCTTCTTTTCTTTCTCACCACCTTCTCTTTCTCTTTTTTCCTTCCTTCCTTCCTTCCTTCCTTCCTCTTTCCTTCCTTCCTCCTCCTTTTCTTCCTTCCTTTCTTGTCTCCCTTTCCTCCCTCTCTCCTTTCCTTCCTTTCTTCTTCTTTTTCTTTCTCAACTCCTTCTTTCACCTTCTCGCCTCATTCTCTTTCCTCTCCTCCTTCTCGTTCCTTCCTTTCTTCGTTTTCTTTCTCCTCCTCACCTTCTTGCCTCTTTCCTCCCCTCCCTCCCTCCCTCCCTTTGTTTTTTTCTGTCTCATTCCTCTTTCTCTTTCTTTCTTTCTTTCTTTCTTTCTTTCTTTCCTTCCTTCCTTCCTTCCTCCTCCCTCCCTCCCTCCCTCCCTGCTTTCACCTTCTTGTCTCCTTACTTTTCCCTTTTTTCCTTCCTTCTTTTCTTCTCCTCCTTCTCTTTCTCTTTTTTCCTCCTTCCTTCTGCTTCTTGTCTCCCTTTCCTCCCTCTCTCCTTTCCTTCCTTTCTTCTTCTTTTTCTTTCTCAACTCCTTCTTTCACCTTCTCGCCTCATTCTCTTTCCTCTCCTCCTTCTCGTTCCTTCCTTTCTTCGTTTTCTTTCTCCTCCTCACCTTCTTGCCTCTTTCCTCCCCTCCCTCCCTCCCTCCCTTTGTTTTTTTCTGTCTCATTCCTCTTTCTCTTTCCTCCTCCCTTCCCTCCTGCTTTCCCCTTCTTCCTCCTTTTTCCTCCTTCCTTCTTTTCTTTCCTCCTCCTTCTCTTTCTCCTTTTTCCTTCCTTCCTTCCTTCCTTCCTTCCTTCCTTCCTTCCTTCCTTCCTTCCTTCCTTCCTTCCTTCCTCACCTTCTTGTCTCTCTTTCCTCCCTCCTTTCCTTCATTCCTTCTTCTTTTTCTTCCTCAACTCCTTCTTTCTCTTCTCTCCCTTCCTTCTGTCCTTCCTTCCTTCCTTCCTTCTGTCCTTCCTTCCTTCCTTCCTTCCTTCCTTCCTTCCTTCCTCTCACCTTCTTGCCTCTTTTTCTCCCTCTCTCCCACCCTCCCTTCCTTTCCCCCTCCTCCCTTATTTTTTTCTCCTTCTTGCTTCCTTCTCTTTCTCCTCCCTCCCTCCCTTCCCTGTGTCTCTCCTTCATTCCTTCTTTCCTTCCTTCTTTTCTTTTTCCTTCTAACCTCCTCCTCTTTCCCTCCCTCCCTCCCTCCCTTCCTTTTCTTTCTCCTTCTCTTTCCCTTCCTTCCTCCCTTCTTCATCTCACCTTCTTGCGCCTTTCCCCCCTCCTTCTTCTTTCCTTCCCCTCCCTTCTTTGGGAACTTAAATCCAGGGCAGAGGTACAATTTCATGTTCATGACTAGGGTCTTGGTCCCAAAAGGAGTAGGATTTGTTTTTTGCTTGTTTAGTTTAAAGCAGCATTGTAATTCAGGTAACGAAGTGTATACAATGCATGCCAGGTTTGGTTCAGATCTATCAGGCCATGGAGGAGAGGTACAGACATATAGGAAGACATTTGACTTTTGTTTTCTGTTGGTTGTATACATGAGCACTTAGTCTGCACTGACGAAACGGTGCCCTTATCTTCTTTTCAGCAATCCCTTTTCCATAAACACCTGCCATCTTTGGGGTTTTGCAACGTTATCAAGATAACAGAAGAAAACACCCGGTAATATATCGGCCTTATTGTTGTTATATATATAAATGTATGTGTGTGTAATGAACATGTCCAAGAGCCCTGCCAATGTCCTCCACAAACACAACACTGCCCACCACACAAGTGAAGGCTTTCATACGGGGACCATTTCATCCTAGATTTTATGTGTTTCCTCCACCACAGGCATCCCAGTGTTTCTGACTCTCCACTAGTGTGGAATTTACATGACCCCGCCCACTGCCTCTACCTTAACCCTTCCCTATTCTTTTCTACGGCACACAGCAAACAGAGGAATTGATCAGCAACTGAACATAATTGAGAGGTTTGGGGAGAATTCACCATGATTTGTAAGAGTTGTAGGTCCTGGGATGTATAGTTCACCTGCAGTCCGAGAGCACTCTGAACCCTACCAATGCTGGACCTGGAACTAACTTGGCACACAGAACCGCCATGGCAAACAAAATATACTGGAGGTCTTTGGGGTAAATTCACCTTGATTTGGATGGAGCCCTGGTGGCGGAATGGGTTCAATCCTTGTGCTGGCAGGACTGCTGACCGGTAGGACAGCGGTACAAATCCAGGGAGAGCGGGTTGAACTCCCTGTGTCAGCTCCAGCTCCCCATGTGTAGGCATGAGAGAAGCCTTCCTTTCCCTTTGCTTCCCTTCCTGCCTTCCTTTTTTCCTTACTTCCTCCCTGCCTTCCTTCCTTCCTTTCTCCTTCTCGCCTCATTCTCTTTCCTCTCCTCATTCCCTCCCTCCCTTCCTTTCCTTTCCTTTCCTTTCCTTTCCTTTCCTTTCCTTTCCTTTCCTTTTCCTTCCTTCCTCCCTTCCCTAATTGCCTACCTATTTTCCTTTCTTCCTTCTTTCCCTTCCTTCCCTGCTTGTATTCCTTCCTTTTTCCTTCCTTCCTTCCTTCCTTCCTTCCTTCCTTCCTTCCTTCCTTCCTTCCTTCCTTCTTTTCTCTTTCTCTCCTCATTCTCTTTCCTCTCCTCATTCCCTTCCTTCCTTCATTCTTTCCCTTTCCCTTCCTTCCTTCCTTCCTTCCTTCCTTCCTTCCTTCCTTCCTTCCTTCCTTCCCTGCTTCCCTTCATTCCTTGCCTGCCTTCCTTCCTTCCTTCCTTCCTTCCTTCCTTGCCTGCCTTCCTTCTTTCTTCCTTCCCTCTCCTTCCCCTTCTTCCTTGCTTCCTTCCTACCTTCCCTAATTGCCTGCCTATTTTCCTTCCTTCTTTCTTTCCTTCTTTCCCTTCCCTTCTTACTTCCTTCCTTTTTCCCTTGCCTTTCCTTCCTTCCTTTCTCCTCTCCCTCATTCCCTTTCCCTCCTCTTCCTCCTCCCTCCCTCCCTTTTTCCTTCCTTTCCTTTTCCTTCCTTCCTCCCTTCCTATTAAATCCTATTTTTCCCTTTCTTCCTTCTTTCCCTTCCTTCCCTGCTTGTCTTCCTTCCTTTTCCTCCTTCCTTCCTTCCTTCCTTCCTTCCTTCCTTCCTTTCTCTTTTCTTCCTCTTCTCTTTCTCCTCTTCCCTTCTTCCTTCTTCTTCCCTTTCCTTCCTTCCTTCTTCCCTCTTCCCTTCCTTTCCTTCCTTCCTTCCTTCCTCCTTCCTTCCTTCTTCCTTCCTTCCTTCCTTCTTTCCTTCCTCCTTCCTTCCTTCTCCTTCCTTCTTCCTTCTTCCTCCTCCTTCCTTTCCTCCTTTTCCTTCCTTTTCTTTCTTTCCTTCCTTTCCTTCTTCCTTTTTCCCCTTCCTTCCTTCCTTTCTCCTTCTTTCCTCTTCCTCTTCCTCCTTATCTTCCTTCCTTCCTTCCTTCCCTCTCCTTCTTCCTTTCTTCCTTTTCCTTCCTTCCTTCCTTGCTTCCCTCCCTTCCCTTCCTCCTTCCCTTTCCCTTCCTTCCTTCCTCTCCTTCTTCCTTCCTTCATTCCTTCCTTTCCTCCTTCCTTCCTGCCTGCCTGCCTGCCTGCCTTGCCCCCCCCCCCCCCCTCCCTCCTCCTTCCTCTTCTCTTCCTTTCCTCTTTCCCTTCCTTCCTTTTTTCTCTTTCTCCTTCCTTCCCCTTCCTTCCTTCTTTCCTTCCTTTCCTTCCTTCCTTCCTTCCTTCCTTCCTTCCTTCCTTCCTTCTTCTCCTCCTCCTTCCTGCCTGCCTGCTGCCTGCCTCCTCCTCTTCCTTCCTTTCTCTTCCCTTCCTTCTTCCTTCTTTCCTCTCCTTCCTTCCCTGCTTCCTTCCTTCTTTCTTCCTTTTCCTTCCTTTCCTCTTCCCCTTTCCCCTTCCCCTTCCTTCCCTTTCCTTCCCCTTTCTCCTTCCTTCCTTCCTTCCTTCCTTCCTTCCTTCCTTCCTTCCTTCCTCCTGCCTCCTGCCTGCCTGCCTGCCTGCCTGCCTGCCTGCCTGCCTGCCTCATTCTCTTTCCTTTCCTCATTCCCTTCCTTCCTTCCTTCTTCCCTTCCTTCCTTCCCTTGCCTTCCTTCTTTCTTCCTTTTCCTTCCTTCCTTTCCTCCTTTTCCCTTCCCCTTCCTTCCCCTTCCTTCCCCTTTTCTTCCTTCCTTCCTTCCTTCCTTCCTTCCTCCCTTCCCCTTCCCCTTCCCCTCCCTCTTCTCCTTCCTTCCTTCCCTCCTCCTCCTCTTCTCTTCCTTTCCTCTTCCTTTCCTTTCCTTCCTTCCTTCCTTCCTTCTTCCCTTTCTTCCTTCCTTCCTTCCCTTCCTTCTTCCTCCTTTTTTCTTCCTTCCTTCCTTCTTCCTTCCTTCCTTCCTTCCTCCCTCCTTCCTCCCTGCCTGCCTGCCTCCTTCCTTCCCTTCTCTTTCCTTCTCTTCCCTTCCTTCCTCTCCTCTTTCCTCTCCTTCCTCCTCTTCCTTCCTTCTTCTCTTTTCCTTCCTTCCTTGCTTCCTCCCTTCCCCTTCCCCTTTCCTTCCTTCTTGTCTTCCTTCCTTCCTTCCTTCCTTCCTTCCTTCCTTCCTTCCTGCCTGCCTGCCTGCCTGCCTGCCTGCCTGCCTGTCCTGCCTGCCTTCCTTCCCTTCCTTCTCCTTCCTTCTTTCCTCCTTCCTTCCCCTTCCTCCTTCTTCTTCCTTTCCCTTCCTTCCTTCCTTCCTTCCTTCCCCCTTCCTTCCCCTTCCCCCCTCTTTCTTCCTTCCTTGCCTCCTTCCTTCCTTCCTTCCTTCCTTCCTTCCTTCCTTCCTTCCTTCCTCCTCCTCCTTCCTCCTCCTTCCTTTCCTTCCTCTTCCCTTCCTTCCTTCTTCTTTCCCTTTCCTTCCTTCCCTGCTTGCCTTCCTTCTTCTTTTCCTTTCCTTCCTTCCTTCCCCTTCCCTTCCCCTTCCCTCCCTCTTCTCTCCTTCCTTCCTTCCTGCCTGCCTGCCTCATTCTCTTTCCTTTCCTCATTCTCTTTCCTTTCCTCATTCCCTTCCTTCCTTCTTTCCCTTTTCCTTCCTTTCCTTCCTCTTCCTTTTCCTTTTCCTTCCTTCCTTCCTTCCTTCCTTCCTTCCTTCCTTCCTTCCTTCCTTCCTTCCTTCCTCCTCTCCTTCCTTTCTTCTTTCTCTCCTTCCTTTTCTCCTTCCTTCCTTATCTACTTCATTCCTTTCTTCTTTTCTTCCTTTTCCTTCCTTCCTTCCTTGCTTCCTCCCTTCCCTTCCCTTCCCTTCCCCTTTCCCTTCCCCTTCCCTTCCCTGCTTGTCTTCCTTCCTTCCTTCCTTCCTTCCTTCCTTCCTTCCTTCCTTCCTCCTGCCTCCTCCTCCTTCCTTTTTCCTCCCTCCTTCCTTTCCTCCCTCCCTCCCTTCCTTCCTTCCTTCCTTCCTTCCTTCCTTCCTTCCTTCCTTCCTTCCTTCCTTCCTTCTTTCCCTTTCCTTCCTTCCCTTCTTGCTTCTTCTTTCTTCTTTCCCTTCCTTCCTTTTCCTCCCTCCCTCCCTCCCTCCCTCCTTCTCACCTCATTCTCCTTCTTCCCTCCATTCTTTCTCTTCACTTTTTTCCCTTCCATTCCTCTCCTCCTTTCTCCTAGGAGTTTTGGGACGATTAAATGCTTTCTTCTCATTACTTTGCTTTCTAATAACTTTAATTGCTGTTCTTTGAAAAGCCCAAAAGTCCCCAAAGTGTGAAAGTGTTGGGAACAGCAGGAGAGCAAAAGAAAAGCTCTTGATTGATATCACAGCCAAAGCTAAGAATTCAATTTATTTGCAATGCATTGAAAGCAAAGGGATAAATAAGGGTTTGGAGCCCCAAAGACAAGCCATAATGATGCATTTAAAACCTAAATTATGCAAACGCGTTCCCCCCTCCCCCTAGGAATGGAAGTTTTGTCGTAATGCAATTTGTTTGTTTTGAAACAGGGATGTGCAAGTCCTTTGTTTCTGTGCAAGCGCCATACAATTTTGCAATGTATGTATTGCATGCATCCCTATGAAGGCATTGAATTTTATTTTTGCAAAGAAAGCCTTAATAGAGGCGTCTCATTGCAATTAGAAAGTATTTAAGACTGGAATGAAAACATAGGAATCAAACCACAGCAGGATTAAGTTAAGCTAGCCTTATTAAAGCCTAATGAGAGCAAGGCAGGGGTTGCTGTAGTCGATTATGTTAACAGTATTTAAGTGTTTTAAGGGTTTTTAATTAACAGGTTTGTATCATTCTATCATTGTTTGCATGCTGTGGGTTTTTTAAATTGCAATTTTCAAAAAAACGTGTGCCCTTTACGTCTCAATTTGTTTTTATTTACCGTGTCAGAAGCGAACCGAGAGTACAGTTGTAATGTATTACAAACTTGGCATTGTACTAAATGTCCTTTGACCAGAAGCTGGCCACTTGGAGAGACTCTGGTGTCGCTATAAAGGTCCACCATTGTGCGTTTGGCAGGTCTCAGACTGCATTGTAGTAGGTGGTCTGTGGTTTGCTGTCCTCACACTCGCCCGTCGTGGACTCCACTTCGTGGCCCCATTTCTTAAGGTTCTTTATTTATTTATTTATTTATTTATTTATTTAAAACACTTATATTCCCCCCTTCTCACCCCGAAGGGGACTCAGAGCAGAGCACAACATATACATGGCAAACATTCAATGCCTGGATATAATACATAAACATTAAAAAACATTTATCTAAATATTAAAATACACCATTTAAAATAACACAATTTAAAACCATCCTAGCCATTATATTTATATATATATATATATATATATATATATATATGTATGTATGTATGTATATATGTATATATGTATATATGTAAATATATATATATATGGATTTTATATTATAAATATTATATATATATGGATTTTATATAATATATATATATATTATATATAATATTTGTCGTGTCAGGAGTGACTTGAGAAACTGCAAGTTGCTTCTGGTGTGAGAGAACTGGCCGTCTGCAAGGACGTTGCCCAGGGGACACCCGGATGAATTGATGTTTTTATCAACCTTGTGGGAGGCTTCTCTCATGTCCCCGCATGAGGAGCTGGAGCTGAGAGAGGGAGCTCATCTGCCTCTCCCCGGATTAGAACCTGCGACCTGTCGGTCTTCAGTCCTGCCGGCATAAGGGTTTAACCCACTGCGCCACCATATGAAATATTAAATACAGTATACTATATTATAAAGACTTATATGATATGAAATATTAAATAAATTACCATGTAAAATATAAAATAAAATAATATAAAGAATATAAAATATAAACTGTAGGATAATATAAAATATAAAACAAATATCATATAAAATATATGATAATATGAAATAAATTACCATATAAAATATTATATATATATATATATATATATATATATATATATATATATATATATATATATATATAAAAACGTAAACTACATAATCATATTAAAAATAACTCCCATGGTGTTTGGGCATCCTTTGCCAAATGATGTGCCTTGATATATGCCAAAATACGCTTTTCCTTTACAGAGAGGTAATTCTTTGACTTACCTTGCCAACTATAGTTCACAATGGCCTCTTTCCTGCAGATACAGAGGCTGGCTGGTCAGGCGGCTTTGCTATGTCCTTGTGGTCAGCGGCTGGACATTCGGGACTGATGTCCCCAGCGACCTCCAGGACACAATCTTCGCCAGCAAGAGGTACGTCTGCATATGTTGCTTGCATGGTCATAGAATACATGGAAGGGAACCCCAAAGGTCATCCAGTCCAAGCCCGTTCTGCCTGGTGGAAAGGCACCATCAAAGCCCTCTCGAAAAAGGCCCATCCAGTCAGAGAAATGATTGAGATAGATAGATATTATATATGTGATAGGTATATCATAATTTCTATAGTTGGTATCCCCAAAGCCATCCAGTCCAATCCCATTCTGGCAGGTGGAACGGCACCATCAAAACCCTCCTGACAGAGGCCCATCCAGCCAGAGATTATTGAGATTCATAGACATGATTAACTGACATATATGATAGATATATTATAGATTCCTAGAGTTGGAAGGGATCCCCAAAGGCCACCCAGCCCAACCCAAATTCTACATAGAGGTAGACACCATCAAAGCCCTCCCAACAGATGGCCATCTAGTCAGAGATATCACTGAGATAGATAGATATTATATATATGATAGGTATATCATAGATCTCTATAGTTGGGATCCTCAAAGGCTGTCCAGTTCAATCCCATTCGGGCAGGTGAAACGGCACTATCAAAGCCCTCCCCAAAGATGCCCATCTAGCCAGAGATGATTGAGATAGACATGATTGACTGATACACACACACACACACACACACACATACATGATAGGTATATCATAGACTCCTAGAGTTGGAAGGGATCCCCAAAGGCCATCCATTCCAACCCCATTCTGCCAGGAGGGCTTTGATGGAAGGCACCATCAAAGCCCTCCTGACAGAGTGCCATCCAGCCTGAGATTATATATATATGTATGTATGTATGTATGTATGTATGTAAAGGTAAAGGTTGTCCCCTGACATTAAATCCAGTCATGTCTGACTCTGGGGTGTGCTGCTCATCTCCATTACTAAGCCGAAGAGCCGGCGTTGTCCATAGACACCTCCAAGGTCATGTGGCCAGCATGACTGCATGGAGTGCCATTATATGGTGTCCCAAAGGACATCCAGCCCATAATTACACAGGAGCAATTAACAAACTCATGCTATATTTTGTATGATATAAATGTGTATGTATATGCATATATGTATGTGTAGATGTGTAGATATGTATGTGTATATGTGTATATATGTTTGTGTATATGCATATATGCATGTGTAGGTGCATATTTATGTGTATATGTACATGTGTATATGTTTATGCGTATATGTATGTGTGTATATACGTATATGTTTATATGTATGTGCATATGTATATGTGTATGCATGTGTATGTATGTGTGTGCATGTGAATACATATGTATATGTATGTAAGTATGTATATCTTTCAGTTAACCTAAAAAGAATGCTCCAATTTCATGATGAATGTTTTGTAAATAACGGTACATGTTCCCTCAAATATGGTGACTTTTGGGACAGCCTGTATCATAAATGCAGCTTATTAAAGTATTATTATTTTTTGTCATTGCTGTTGCTTGAGTTTCCCTTAACGAAGAGTCTCCTATATAGATAGACAGATAGATAGATCTGCAGTGCGTGCGCTTGTGCTCCTCTTATGTTTACTTTGCAGTCTCTCGTCTGCACATCTGCTTCCCCATCTGCTTCCCTGTCTTCTCCACTGGTCTTGATGGGAAAACAATGGGTCTCATCAGGAGTCGGCCGAACCCCGTTGCTGCGATACCGGCCTCGGGATCGGTGTGGCAGACAGGGCTTGTTCCCATTAAGACGGATCCCATCTGCACCCATTCACCCCTTCCCTTCTTGTGCCTTCAAGTCCTTGTGGACCTATGGCGGCCCTATCCCAGAGTTGGAAGGG